GGAGTCGGTGGAGGCCAGCGGGATGAAAATGTTATGGTCTCCCTCCATTAAGGGTTTCCTTCCAATTGATGGATTTACGTTCACATTTGTAGTAACATTTAAAGTCGAGTTCACTAATGGATTAGGTAGCAGTTGGTATGGTATGACTATTTAGAAAATTCGCAATATATAGCAACTTTATCGTTTGGATAACAATATATGGCGTTCGAATGGGGAATCAGAGCAATACAGTAGCTCAGTTCATGGGCTCTTTTCTCTGCATTTTGTTCATGCTTCTCAATAACAAATTTTGAGTTCTATGAATTTATTTTTTTGATAAAATTTTTGACTTTTATTTTAATCACTGTTTCAACATTTGTATATATTGTGCATGGCAGCTGCGGAATGAATACATTTATTGTGTAAGGCAGGCCCTAAGCAGAAGCTAATAGCCAGAAGTGATACCCATTTGCTTTCCATTAGGTTTCCTTCATTACCCAGGTATTCCTGAGTTGAGAGAATGTGTGTACCCTTATTCTAGGATTTTGGAACGCAGCGAAATGACCGTTCCCCAGAAAAAGGTCGGCACCCCTCAAGGATTTTTTTCAGCTAGTTGCAGAACTTTTGAGAGTGGAGTCTGAGCAAGGTGCAGTTATCCAAGGATTGTTGCATGAATGGGCACTGGAGAAGGTGAATCCATATGGTATAACCGTGGCAGAGTTCGCAAATCGAATTTCATGGCTAAGGAATAAGCTATAGGACATGCTGGTCTAAAAGATGAAGACCTTCTTGTTCCCCAAGAGAACTGGGTGTCCAGCCAAAATCAGGACCCATGTACTAGCTGGACACGAGTATCTAATTCCATATGACAGAACCCCAAAACAGATTCTAAAGGGTTATGTATTGAACCGGGGATAAGAGAGTCCCTAGAGGTTTCTACCTAAAGGAAGCTGATGGTCATATTGCTAGATCTTATCTACATAAGACAAGTTTACCGAACCACATTCATTTGTGTGTGTGACTAACCATATAACAACGCAGCATGCACCAACAATATGTCTTATTAGTTCTCTACCTTTTTCTGTTTCCGATTTTAAATGAACTATTAATCCCGAAGAGCATACAGAACTAAGATAGAGGCAGTATAAGGCTGTGCCGCAAGTGGCCAACAGCCTACACAGAAAAATATCTATTGGATTTTCATCAATGGCTGAGTAATATCTATTTAGAGGGCAGATATTCTTTAACAATAAATATCATGTTCATCCATTGCCAAGGATATCATCCAGAATATGAAGGGGCCCTGAATCACCTAAGCTTCTGAACAAACAATGGACTAAAATATTCCATATAGCTATGTTGGGTGGTATTCCCTCAGTTACCATCTTATTTAAGTAACTGATTGCTGCTTCTACACCGATCCAATTGCAAATCCCCCATAAAAGACTAGTATATGATACTATGTCTGGACACCAATCACCTCATACAGACATTCTATGGAAATGTTGGATGGCAGTCTTAACCTGACCCTGCTTACAGTAGGGCAGATTATGTTTCAGCTTAGCACCAAAAATTGGTTTGATTAATCTCTAAGTGAAAGTTAAGTTAAATTTACAGCCCATGGAATTATTATTTCCCTGTGGTTACAGGTAGAAATTACTAGAGGCAGCATACACATTTTGGTTGCCTAGGAAGGATCTACTAGTCCAAGTGCAGGCCAAGAGCCAACCTTGGTAAGACAAACTTGAACTCTACCCAAAACCTAGACATGGCTCACCGTTTTTGCTCTAAAAAGCTGTATACTTATCTAAAGAAACACCAAGTGCTACTGCAAACAAACTATACGTTTTTCTACAGTGCAGTTTGTACATAAAACTATGTTAGCATGTAAATGATATAAGGACTGGACTCTTTCCTTTTGCTTATCATAATCTAACCGTCTCGGCCCCATGTGTTTACTACTTCTTTTTTTGAAGTCCAGGTTCTAAATCCTCATAATTAAATGCCTTTTGACAAACATAGCAATAAAAGAAGGGTTTGTCCTTATAAGATGTCAAATCCTTCCTTTATAATTTATCCAGAAGTGTAAAACACTCAGACAAGCCAAATAAAGGCTTAATCAACTTTCATCTTACAGGCTTCACGGTTTGCGAGGAGGTAGGCTTCTACTGCCTTGAACAATCCCAAGGCCCTTTCTTTCTCCGCTTTGACATCTTCTTCCTTGATATAAATGTCACCAATGGTAAAATGGTTGCTGATGCTGATTTTGCAAATGGATCCTCCCTCTGGACCTGCCATAAACTTGATTTCGTAAGAGATTTTCTCAAGATTGTTCATCAGAGCATCGCCTTCAATGAGACCATAGTTGAATGACAAGCCCTTCTCGTCGACTGCTTCAGAGCCTGTTTGGTAGAGTTTGTTAGAGCTTTTTAGAGCTTTTTAGAGCTTTTGCTTTTTTTATATTGTTCAAGAATGATAAATTTAAATTTTTATTAAAGGAAAAAATTTAAAAATTACTTTTAAAAATAAAAAAAAGTGAGTAAAAAATGAGTAAAAAGTAAATTTATAAAAAGTAATGATTTGTAAAAGGCATAGATTTAAAATTTTTGATTTTTTATTGTTTGAGATCTTTTTAAAGTTAAAAAAATTTTAAAAATATAAGTTTTAAAAAAAAATTTTAAACTTATAAAATATAAATAGTATCAAAAAAACTGAAGCCACTAGAAGCTCCACCAAATAGACTCTCAATCTTATACTTCACATACTCGACTTGGCTTCCTGTAAATAAAAAACAATTTAGTTAATTGCTTGTGATATGCGAAGAGCTAGAAATGATTATGGAAACTAAACCTTCTCCAAAGGTGATCTTTATAATTCTTCCGGGGCCTCCATCTCCTTCAATCAGTTCGACATTCCGAATGTCCGTTGGGGCACAGGCAAAGGCCCCGATCAACCGAGCTGGCTGGATCTTTGTGGTGTGCTCTATTTCATCAGTGAAAACACCCATTCTAGCCATTGTAGCCATTGTACCCTGAAAATGTGGAAGAGGAAGATGTTGTGGATGTTGTGGCTGTTGTGAAAGATTTGTAAGGTAATAAAGGAAGCGAGCTTGCTTGATTTTCCATTTAGTTCCCATGTTAAAAACAGGTTAAATCCCTAGTTCAGTCCCTCAACTTTCATTTTTGAACTAAATTTACCCTAGAACTTCAAAAAGTACTAGAAAAATCCTTGAACTTCAATTTTCGAGACCAATTTCGTCCTTCCATCGACGGAAGTGCCAAATAGCACGTTAAGTTGCCACGAAATCAATTCTTATTTGAAATCTTTAATTATGTGGAAAATAACTTTAACTTATTGTAATATTTTTATTATTCACATCATTTTAATTAATTTATCTATTAAAAAAATTTAAAACTCCTTAAATACCTCCATCTTCATCTTCCAACCCCTCTTTTTCTCCCTTCTCATCTATCTCTATCCTTAGATGTCTCTTCATCTTGCAACCCAATCAGCACCGATCATCCCTCATTACTCCGATCATCCCTTACCACTCCAATCACCATCTCCTTCTTCCTCAAACCTCCTCTCTAATGGAACCCAAATCTGGTTCCTCGCACAATAATAATGGCCAATAGATCTAATTCAAAAAATCAATTACACTATAAACTTATACTAGATCTGTAAAGATTCAACAAATCAATCATATTGCAAACTTATATCAAATCTATAAAAGAAAAGCAAAATGTAAAAAACACGACATCCTTTCAATCAACACCAACAGTAGTTAGATTTTGAAATTCAAGTAAGCACAAGCCACACAAAACTCTAAATCTCATACCAAGATAGCCAAGCATGACTGCAGCCAATAAAGAAACAGAACAAAAACCCAAGTGGGTTCGACTTGAACCCAGGCCTTGGGTTCGGAACCTAGGAGCTGAGTTCGAAGGAACCTGCGCTTGGATTCAAAGGAACCCGCGCCTAGGTTCGAGTCGAACCGCCTGGGTTCCTTTGAATCTAGTAGGGAGGGGAAGGAGAAAAGGAAAGAGAAGAAAAAAAAAAAAAGAAAGGAAAGAAATTTTTATTTATTAAATTATATTCATGTTGTCATGTCATAATATTTTTATAATTAAAAGATGTCATATCATTTATTTTATTTTCAAGTAATATTCAATATTAATAGAAATTGAATTTCTTAATGGAGAATTTCACCACATTAGCACTTAACTGACAGAAGAACAAAATTGGTCCCAAAAATTGAAGTTTGGGGATTTTTTTAATACTTTTTGAAGTTTGAGGGTAAATTTAGTTCAAAAATAAAAGTTGAGGGACTGAACTGGAGATTTAACCTTAAAAACATGTTAGCTTGCTGCCAGTGGCCAAACCACCGAAATGATTCCCACCAAAGAGACTCATGAGGGAATATTCACGGTTTTCTACATCTACTGTGGTATCAAAAGATTTCATGGAGTATAGCTAAGAAGTTTAAATTGACCGATATATATTAGATACCGTTGTCCTTGTTATTTTAAAAATTATTTTATTTTTATTTTTATTTTTATTTAAAAATATATACTATATAATAATTATTTAATTTAAGTTGAAATAATTATAATAATTACGGATTAATTCAACAAATTATCTATTAACTTTCATATTCTTTTCAATTTTATCTATTATCTTTGAATTCTTTCAATTTTATTTATTATCTTTCACATTTATTTCAATTTCATTTAATTCGTTATCTTTGACAGAAATATCCATTATCTTTAATGGAAATCTTCTTAGAATAAGAAAATATTTAGTCCATTAACTGTATTTTTTTATTTTTTTGTCCTTAAATTTATATTTACGCCAAAAATAGTTTTTATTCTTATTTTGCTAAATATGTTCTTTAAAAAATTGCTTTACAAAGCAAATTATATGCAGTTTATCTTGTAAAATTATTTAAATACCGTTAATTTTATTTTTATATTAGTTTTTTAGAAAAATTTAAATAATTTTACAGGATAAATTGTATACAATCTGCCTTACCATTTTCTTGTAAAACAAATTTATTTTTAAAACTTCTCATTCTAAACAAACTAAGTTTCTTTGTTTGAATTGAGTTAGTTGCTCAAGTTTATTACAAATTTTAACTAATCTATATTTATAAAATATTTTTCTATAAAATATTTTTTTGAGTTATCATATTTTATTAAGATTATAATGTTACTTTTTCAAAATTTAAAGAACTACTTTTTCATTAAATCTAATAAAATTTTATATGGTAAACTATTTTGAAATATTCTCCAAAGTTTATAGACCATTTAAAAAAAAAACTTTCTAAACTAAAATGAAATTAAACTAATAGTTAATAAATTAAAAATTAAATTAAACCTAATAACTACTAACAAAAATGTTAAAAGATTAAAAAGATACTATTAATATATTTTAAACTTTTTTTATATAAAGCATTAATAAACTACACTTTTTGTTTCTAAACTGTCCCATGCAGTGCCACGGGTGAATTCGTTTTCCACTTTTCCCAACCCGAAAGTCAATCAATGACAAATGTCAAACTCCTAAAGGGGTAATCATAATTTAATTCTAATTTGATATTATATTTTTTATATATAAA